CAAACTCCGACGAGGAGGGCAAAGAGCGGCCGTCGTTTTGGCGATAGATGTATGTATATGATTCCAGCGGCAGGGTTCGAGACTCACAGCCCCGTGGCCCAATCTACTCCGAGGAGGAGGGCCATGGTAGCCGTTTATCCCTGTAAGGACTCTTGGACCTCCGCCAAAGCTTTGCCCAATTCAGCGGCATCCTCTTTCGTCTTGACGCGAAGCGCCCAAGGGTCCACGCCGGAACCGTCAGCCCGCGGGACTATGAACTGAATACTATTATTCGCAACCTTGTAGTCGATGGCTTTCTGGATGGCAGTGTTCAGAACCACCTTGCCACTGGGATCGGCCCGAAGAACGAGGCGCGCGCGACCTGCCTCTCGGTTCTTCAGGACCCGGAGAGGGCCAACCCCCTGGGTCTCCCAACCTGATGGCTGCTTGTATTTAAGTGCACGGGCACGGGTGACAAATGCGACGTCCTCGTTTTCTCGCCTGCATTGCCAACGAGGTTGACCTGGGGGTCATTTGAGTAGTCCTGGCCATCCGTGTCCTCCCCGGCCGTATCCTCATTCGAAGCCGGAGCGGAAGCCTCATTCGAAGCAGGACCGGAAGAAGTCGTAGCTGGATTGGTTGTTGGTTGATTTACCGCTACTCCGCCAGGAGCCCCAGATTGGGTCGAAAACAGACTCGAAAACGGGGTAGAAGAAGAAGTCTGAGAGGACGACAGCGGGGCTATTGGAAGAGAGTTAGCAACTGTCATCAAGTTCCGCATACTCCACGTTGCATATGCCTTGGGTACAGGGGCTCCAAAAGCATTAACAGCAGGGGTTACCCATGTCGGCGGTGCTGGGGTTCCAAAAGCCGGGGTAGTTGGAGAACCGAAGACACTGCCAGTAGGGCTGAAGGTAGGAGCAGGGTTGAAGGTAGGAACAGGGTTGAAGCTGTCAACAGGGGTTGAACATACCGCTAGTAGGGGTTCCTGTTTCACGAACGGGTTTTCCATCAGCGTCGTATTGAATGCGGTCGAACAGGCTGCGACCGGTGCTAGTTGAGGTCGAGGGTGCAGCAGGTGCTGCTTCGGTTTCAGCGTCGGAGTCTTCATCAGCCGCATCTTCGGTGGAAGAATTCGCAGCGGACAGATGTCCAAAAAGATTGTTAGACGTTACGGGAGGCGTGCTGCGCTGGCTTTCAAAGATCGACGAGACCGCTTTCTTTGAACCATCTTCAACCGAGGAACCGAAGGCAGACGAAGTACCAAACAAGCTGCTAGATGTCACAGGCGTACTCAACGGCTTAGGTTCTGGATCACTAGTGGCGGCCTTGCCAAACTCCTGGCCCTCGGCGTCATGACCTTTTCCATCACTGAACTTAGTACGCTTCTGCGCATTGTCTTCGTCTGAGCCAAAGTCTTCAGCTTTGCGCTTTTCTTTCTCTTTGTCTGCTTCATTAGTAGCTTGTTTACTGAACTGGGTGAGGAAACTAGGCGTATTTCCAGGACCAAATTTGGGAGGCTCAAAAGCTGGCTTTGATGGAGAGTCGGTGTTCTTGTCAGTAGTAAGCGCCGGGGAAGACGGGCCAGTGGTCGAAGTGCTGGTCGAGGGAAGCGGTTTGAAGCTAAACGACGGCGAAGGCTTGAACACATTAGAATTGCTGGACTCAGAAGCGGAAGGCTTAAAAAGACTTGGTGCCGAATCTTTCTCGGTAACGGAAGTAGGTTTGGATCCAGACGCCGGAGACTCAGTTTTCTGGAATGAATCCGTACTGGAGTCAAGTGCCTTGGAATTAGAGAAGGAGCTCGCAAATAAGCTGGCCGTCGTGTTCCTTGTGCGCTTGCTGGACTGCACATCCGAGTCAACGTTGGAATCCGCATCTTCAGTCGCCTTGCGTTTGTTGGGCGTATTAGTAGAACTTTGCTGGTTCCCGGACGAGAAAAGTGCAGATGTGGTTGCTGGCTGAGTGTTCACATTGTTCACAGCAGACAATTCAGCGGGCTCAGCAGACTTTGCTTTCTTCGATGAAGATTCCTCAATATCGGTACGATCGGATTCCTCGTCCCGGTCCTTGCGTTTTCCAGGTGCAGTAAGACGTGAACCGATGGGAATGCCAAGTGTCTTACGAACACGCGAGTAGTACAGCAAGACGACATCAAAATCATCTTTTTCAGGATCGAGCTCGGAGATCTTGCGCTTGAAAGAGTAGTTCAACATCTGGATCTTGTACTGCATGTCGACACTCTGCGCTAACTCCTTGCTGATGTTAGGAGGGAGTTTGCGCGGCCCTTTGGTTGCAAAGGATGGCTTCGGCACTGCCTCCTTATCCGGCGATGGCGCAGCCGCGGTTGTAGTTGGTGCTGTGAGAGGCTTTGGCTCGGGTTTTGGAGCAAAAAGGCTGCTCGGGGCTTCCTTTGCAGGAGTATCAGATGCTGGCTTCGCAGGCTCTGTCTTCGTTGTACCGGAGAAGAGGGACTGGAAAGGCCTGGCCTGAGTGTCATCAGGCTTAGTAGTTTGTCCGAAGAGTGAACTTCCGGCACTGAAGACCGAACTTGGAGCCGTAGTCGCTTGAGGAGGCTCATTAGGCTTGGTAGTCTGTCCAAAAAGGGGACTGGAGACAGTAGGGGTGGCATTGGCGGAAGCTGGAGCAGCAGTCGTCTGGGGAGTGTCACTAGGCTTTGTGACTCGACCGAAAAGAGAACCACCAGCGCCAAAGCCAGTGCTAGCTGGAGTTGTTGGAGTCGTAGCCGCTTGAGGAGCTTCACTGGGCTTTGTGGTTTGTCCAAAAATGGAGCTGGAGAAGGTAGTAGAAGTTGCACTGGCAGTAGCTGGAGCGGCAGTAGTTGGAGTATCGGAAGGCTTAGTTTGACCAAAGAGGGAACTTCCGGAGCCGAAGGCAGTGTTTGCTGGAGTCGCAGCTGTAGTGGCAGGAGTATCAGTCTTGGTTTGGCCAAAGAGAGAAGCTCCGGCACTGAAGGTTGGTTTGGCTGGAGTTGCAGCCGTGGTCGCAGCCGTAGTCGCAGGAGTATCAGCGGGCTTGGTCTGACCAAAAAGGGAACTGAAAGGATTGTTGGCTGGAGATGGAGCTGCAGTGGTTTGAGGAGTATCGTTGGGCTTGCTAACATTGCCAAAAAGAGTACCAGTGCCAAAGGGAGTGTTAGCGGCAGCTGGAGCGGTAGTTGCTTGAGGAGTGTCGGTAGGCTTAGTCACCCGATCAAAAAGTGACTTGCCAGCGTTAGGATTGGCGTCAGTCGACGTGGCAGGTTTAGCACCAAACAGCGAGGAAGAAGTCTGCGGGGTTGAAAAGAGGCTTTTGTTCTCAGTGCTCGTGGTACCGAAGAGAGACTTGGCGGGAGAACCGGTGGTGTTCGGCGCAGCTCCAAAAAGAGACGGCGAGGAAGGAGCAGTAGTGCCCGTCTTGGCTTTCCCGTCAGGTGAGATCTGCATCGTGTCACTAGCGGTACCAAACAAGCTTTGACTCTTCGGAGTGTCAGTGGAGGAAGAGGTTTGGCCGAAAAGCGACGTCGTCTTAGAAGTGTCTGTGTTGAATAGGTTGAATGAAGGAGTGGAAGTCTGAGTGGTAGACTGTCCAAAAATGCTTCCAGTAGCACCGGTGGTTGCTGGAGTAGTTTGAAAGATCGAGGAACTGGATGTTGACGTAGTATTGCTAGGAGTACTGAACAAACCAGCTCCTGTGTTCTGAGAAGGTTGGGAACCAAATAAGTTGCCCGACGGTGCAGCTTGGGCTGGCTGGTTCTGACTTTGGCTGGTAGTGGGTGGGATGTTAAAGATACTCCCTTTGAAGCCACTAAACCCAGATGTATTCTGATTCTGGTTTTGTCCTCCAGTACCGTTAGCGAACGGGTTGTTGATACCTGCACTGGAGTCGAAAGAAGCAGAGAAATTAAAGCTTGCAGAACCACCTGAGCCAAAAGAGATAGGCTGGTTTCCGTTCTGGGTAGGATTGGAACCTGCACCTGGGAAACTCTGGGACTGACCAAACGCAAAACCGTTTGAGAGCCCTGGGTTCGAAGATGCAGAGACGTTAGGATTTATCGAGTTGAAGGGACTAGGTGATTGAGACGTTGCGGACGACGCGAGGTTCGGACGCGTCCGCCTGCTGATTTGTTTGATTCTGGAGGAATAGTTAGAAACGCGTCTCATCAAGACAGTCTCTTCAAGGCTTCGACAGAAAAGAAGTGTAAAGAGCTCGCAGAAGCAAGCAAGAGCTTTGAGATTGCAAGAGTAAAGATGGATAGTACGCCAAATGGGTGCAAACGAGGACGTGGGAAAGGAGGTTTGGGAAGCAGAGATGGTGAGTGGGAGTGGGAGTGTGAGTCAGAGAGAAGGCTGGGGGACGGGGTTTTTAGAGGGAGCAGGACGAGGGAGTGAATGAAAACAAGCGAGTGCCTGTCAACAACAAAGCGAGTCACTGGTCGCTGGGTGCATTCACTGGAGGGCAGAGACGCGTTGTTGTTGTTGTTGTTGATATCGAGACCACCTTTGACAGGCACCGATGCTGTGCGCAGAACAAACAAAACAAAACAAAACAAAGCAGCACGTCTTCAAACAAACAATCCTTCTTCTTTTTTACTTACTTTCTGTTGGCCATCTGGGCCGCTGTGGCCCGCTGGGGCTTATCATCCGGCGTGCTCGACATGTTGAAATCGATCCCCTGGATTCTATCTGCGTGAGGGCCCTGCAACGGTCGTTTCGACATCCAAATGACCTTCTCCCTCCTTCGCTGCTAACAGCCCACAGAACTACTCTCTTCGATTCAATTTTTCAAGAATAACAACACGTGTACAGAGCGTTTTTGGTTCTTTTCCGGTCTCCGACAAGCTATATCGTCCCCGTCGCAGTTCCCACAGGAAAAAAACACGACCGCGATGCAAATCCTCAACAGTATCGCCACTTTCTATTCCACGAAAAAATACCGACTTGCGGCCGGAAGCACTCAACGAAATCAAACGCTCGTCCGACTGGTAGTGCGCCTTGTCACGTCCAGCAAAAATTCGATGAAAGCTATCTGGGGAATCACCGATTCCGAAGATGGGAGAAAGAGGCCGGCACGATCTCGCTTGAAGAATCAGAGAGGTCTTCAATAATATCCTCCGGACGATGATGACGGCACGTCGTAATGTCGGCGCGATCGAACAGTGAAGCTTGCGGCAAACGCGAAAAAGCGTCGATGATTTAGGACGGGAGAACAGGGTGCGGAGGACCGGCAGAGGCTGATGAGAAGGCAGAGCAGCAGATATAAGCGTTCTCTGAGGATCAGAGGATGTCACGCTTCGAGTATCTTGCTCTGCCTTGGGACTGCCAGCGACGTTGGGAGAACGGATCCTCCTTCCTGTTGTGCCTGCCTTTTTTTTGGCGGTCGATCGCGACAGCTCGCGGTTTCCGCTGAGAACACGGGGGCGGCTGGCAAAAAAAGCCGGTCACGTGGCTCGGGGTAGAGTGGGCGAGATGACATAATTCGCTGGGGACTGACAACTAATTATAACTACGGACGAAAGGGTGATTATTGGGCGTTGGGGATCTCCTCCCACAATGGGCAGAGAAGAATCGGTGGTGAGAACAAGTTCCTTGTTAGGCGTTTTTCTATTGTGTTGCGCAGTTGGTTGAGGTCTTTTTCCGATGTTCTTTGTTTGCGAAGGTGGACTTAAAGGATTTAAGATCAGTGTGACCTTGCCCAAGCTGGTCGGTCTATGACGTTTCTATGGAGACGTTGGGAATAGCTTAACTTAGACTGACTTCAGCTTTGACATGTCATGGTTTCTTGGAGTATGCAGCAGTATGGTGTGCAAAAACGAAAGAAAAGGAAAAATCAAAATGCGATTTTGTCCTTCCTACTTTATATACACAGTATGTATGCATCCTGGGCACAATCATCAGATCGATATACAAACTACAGCTGTAATGACAGTAATAGTCATTGTTATTGCTAAATAAGGAGTGTTATATATTTACTGGTAACCTATAGAGGAAACATTTTCAAATGGAGTAGAGAAGGAAATGATGGATCGAACCGGCGTAAACTAGTTGTCGGTTCAAGCCAAGGTTATATATAGTTTGTTCTAGTGTCTGAAAATTCTCCCCAGTATGAATTTTGGAACCCACGTTATCTTCCAGTGGAGAGGTACACACACATTCACGATGCCATGAGAAATAAGACATTAGTAACGACTGGAACGGCATATTTGAGAAGGCGTTCATAACTCACGCTAAGGTGGTATTTATCGAGGCAGAATCCTGCATCTAAGGATATCATGACCTACTAGTAATATTTAGAATTGCTATGACAGGGAGCGTTTTCTTGTATTTTGACCTCATAGCTTTCCGTAGATTCCTGAAATTGTTCCGGACTTCTTCTTACTTTTCTTCTTCTTCTTCTTCTTCTTTTCGACTTTTTGGATTTACTCTCGCATTCTGTAACTTATTACGGATAGGTCTGAATGATAATACTTCGACCGTTATATTATTGTCTGGAGGAGCTGAAGCGCTCTCGTATCCTTGAACGGAGCTGAGATACTAATATATATGTATTGTAATCCTGTTCTATACGATAACTATGCCAGCCAGCTAGGCGATGATTGCGTCCAGCCGTCGTTTTAACTCGTCTGTAAGCGTGTTGATAAACTCCGCATCCAAAGCATCTTTCTGCCAGCTAAAAGATAGAACCAGACACCCGTCGCCACCAGTTATCGCACTGATAGCGACCGCACTGCCTGTGACGTTGGCACTTTGACTGAAAACCATCCGCCCGACTTGTGGGGTGTGCGGGTGATTGTCTTTATCGACAGCATAAGCACCGACATTCGACAACTCAAAGCTCGAGTGCCGTGGCTTGCCCACTTTCGACAGGAACAGGTCCCGATGGTAATCGGCGACATATTTCAGAAGACCTATCGACTGGTTCCTCCCCTTTTGTTCGAGGACGCGCTCAATTGTCTGCCTTGAGCGTTTAGCCTCGTCCCAGGGAAACTCCTGCCCCTTGAAGTTATCACGCTCGTATACTTCCTCGTATTCCTGTACCCAGACACCGATCGAATCTTCTGTGATGATATCTGGCAGCCACCTCCGGAGAGATATTGCTCCACTACAGCGCAATTTCTTGAACGTTGTGGGCAGCTGATTGAATATGACACTGGCGATCATGGTCTGCAGTGCTGCCGTGACCGTGGTCCCATTCATTTGACACGACTTTCTCAGTTTCATGGTAGTCGACTTTGATAGCGGTAGATGACGAACGCGATTCACCAGGGGGGTTTTGATATGTGATCCAGTCCACAAGAGAGGATCGTTCCTCAGTCTAATCTTGGAGTTTAAAAATTCCTTGGCGAGATATAATATTGATACAGGGAGTGGAAGGAGTTGTTCCAGGTTTGGTAGCAGCGGAGAAGTCGGAGGGACGATGAGATTCTTCGCCTCTCCCGACGGAAACGATTGCACCTCCCTCAGAGCTCGGGCAAAGGTATTGTGGAAGGCTTTTCCAGAGGAACCGTCGCCAATGGCATGGTGGAACACAAAGGAGGCAGTGAAATGCCGATCATCAGTAGGATCAGTCAAGATGCATAGCCTCCAAAATGGCAATCCTAGAGAAAAGGGCGTATTATGCTGAGCTTGCAGCAGGTTGTCCAATTCAACATCTCTGGACGTCTGCTCGAGATCGCCTGAAGCCACATATTTCTGTGACCGTTGCTGGAAAGACACACATTTATCCAGGTCGATCTCTGGGAGTCGAGCAAAGTATGGATCCCGACTCCCTTCGTCCACGGGATTGACCGCGAGGTTAGGATGTTGAGCAATCAGAATTTCACATGCTCTGTAGATGTGGTCCTTAATGGGCGGAACAGGGCCTTCTGAGAGGTGATACGTCGCAGTCACTGCAACATTGAAGTAGAATCGGAGATGATGGCGAGCAGTGAGTACATCTCCAATGGACCTGCTTGTCCGTGAGCCAATGACTGGG